CTCCATCTCTGTCTTCATTTCAGCTCTAATTTCTTCACGTTGCTTCGCTAGAGCTTCTTGAAGCATTTGAGCAAATTGATCAAAGGTGATCGTGAGTACTTCTCTGGTTTGTCCCATGCTAGACATTGTATCATCAGAAGCGATTGCAGAACAAGTGTCCGAGAATTCATCCTCCGAGGACATTCCTTCTTGCATTCTTTTGTAATCTCTGCGTCTGATGGCTCCTAATTGGAGTCGAGACATCCTTTGAGCAATTCTTGGATTGACTTTTCCTCTCGGTGAAAAGTCGGGAATTGAGTCACTTGAATGCCCCTTAGACTTTCTTTTATCAGCCACGTTGACGGTGACTTCAGGGAATCCATCATCTTGGGCAGCTGATTTTCTTTTGCGGAAATGTCTTAGTCTCGGCTTAGGCTTCGACAATACAGAGACTCTTCGTGGGATGGCTTCTCGTTTAAAACAGTCACATTCTGATAGCATTGCTCTAATGAGTCGCGTACAGGAACAATGAGAGCTCGTTTCCCGGACAGTTCTCTTTCGAGTTTTGTTCATACCCCCAGTTTGATAGTATGATTCATCGGTATGATTGCCGGAAAATCTTATCGTCTGTTGGTATGACCTTCCAGGTATGACGATGTCATTTGGTGAACGCGTTTTCTCCTGGGGGTGTAAAACCTTGTACGTTTAGAACCACTCCCTCTCAGGTATGACGATGGCATTCTCAAGACAATTTATTAATGTCTTTGAGCGATCTAAGGTTATGTCGGGAGTCGCACGTTTAGAACCACTCCCTTGCGGGTGTGGATTCTTAACGGGCTCCGAATGCTGATTTTTCACCACTCCAGACTTTGGAATCCAGACTTGGCAGAGTTTCGGTGGTTCTTTGGCCACCGTTTCCTTCTTCCTTTCTCGTCTTTGTTGTAAGAGAGCACATGCATGAGCAGCGTTTGCACGACGTTTTTGTATACGTTCTTTGAGGGTCGAACGAGCCCTTTTGATAATAGTCCATTCCTCCGTCGTGAGTTTAACAGAGACATGAGTGATTGGTCGTTGATACAACTGAACCACTCGATGCCTCCTCAACTCTAAGTCCGCATGATAACGAACTCCGTCGGGTTGTTTCAAGGCCTTAGCCATTTGGCGAGCGCGGCGTTGGCGTTGTCTCTGACGAGCTCTTTTCGTCAATGCCGGCGGGCTTTGATTTAATGACTCCTTAATTGGAGAAGAATCATTATGAGCAGAGAGTTTGCGAGTAGAATCCTCAGCCACAATCAAACGAGAGTCTTCATCTGTAGTGTTTGACAACTTCAACAAAGATGAAATCTTCCTGCATTTGCGAGGCAAGGGAGACTTTACAGATGAGGATGATAAATACTCCTCAAACTTCGCTTGGTCGAATTCGTACTCGACCGTTGATTCAACCGGGATCTTGATGGTTGGCTGCGACACGACGGTCTCGACAGCGAGACCGTTGGCTCCCACTGTGGTCGCCAGTTTGTTTGCGTCAAAAGTTGGTTTCATTGTGGAATTCATTATATTTTCGGTCGATTACAATAAATTCAAAAGAAATAGCCTTTTTATAAGACTTCTTTTACACAACAAAAGGAAAATTACAACTTTTTAGAAACAAACGCAGGATCGTTGTTTGGATCGCTGCTTGCGTGGGATCTTTGCCTGTGCCGGGAGCGCTTTGACTCGTTTCTCGAGGATGTTTGTGAAGAAAGAAGACTCTCTCTCTTACTTTAATTCACCAAAAAAACTCAAGCCTTTTGCTCTAATCTGCCCTTCTCCCTCCCTTATTTCGTGTCTAGGGAAGTATTTATAGGGGTCTAAGTGCACAACAGTTAAAATGGGGGCAAAACTGCCGCGGCTATTGGCGCGGTAGTATGGACTGCCGCGGCCAAAGAGGCAGTTACCAGCACGTTCCATCGTGCTTGAAACCGTTCTCCCACGACCTTTAACCACCTTTTTTCGTGGTTTAACTGCTTGTCCACGTCAGCACACGTTTTATCTCTGATTTGCCGCCACGTGGACTTCAAATAATCATCATATAACTACCTTATAACTGCCGCAGCACCTCCTATAATAGCCGCGACACCTTTAACTGCCGCGTCTAAGGCGCGACACTCTTAACTGCCGCGCCTAAGGCGCGGCACTTTGAATTGTCGCGCCTAAGGCGCGACACTCTGAACTGTCGCGCCTAAGGCATGTCACCCTGGCTTGCTTGTTGGTGTATCGTTGTGTCTACACTGTTCTTTTCTCATCCTTGAGTTGTGTTTGGATATCTATGAGCATTTTTTGACGCCTACAGTTATTGATATACATGCAGATATATAAGCGGATATGCATGCGGATACAAAACGGATATGAGAAAACTAGATAGTATTGAGAAAAATATAGTTCATGTGATACAAAAGAGTTCGTTAATATGTTCATTATAATTGAAACGTTAAGATTAGACATCTTGATCATCAAAATTAACCACAAATCCATAATCTAAGAATTAAAACTATCGTAATAGTTTGACTAATATGTATTCGGATATTTCAGATACGGATACGGATATTTTACTACAAAACCATATCCGTAACCATATTCTATCGGTTATAGATTTGAGTAACCATATCCGTTCCTAACAGATACGGTTACGGATTTTTCTTCGGATACGGATACGGCTTAGCACCCCTAGTTGAGTGTTACTGCTAGGGAATTCTGACTGTAAATTCTATCAGGTACTAATCCTCTTCAGACTATGGGGAAGACGTTATCAGAATTTGGCCATTATTAGTATTCAACTTGCTTTTGATTGGGAAAAGGGAAAGGTTTAAATTCTCTGGCTGACATGTTTAGAATTTATCCTCTGTACGAACGGAAAAATGTATTCAGGTTAAATGTTCTGACGCTAGTTTTGGAGTAAAAAATAGCTTTACTTTACTAGTGGTCCGTTGAGTTTTAGAGGTCCGTGGAAATGGAATGATCTTATCTGTTGCATCCATATTTATTCAAAAAGATTAATCCTTGTGTTGAGTAATGAGTTCAATTGTTCAAACTTGTTTAATCCTATATCCATCTGATATTCTGATTGCTCTTTCAACGCGGTATTAAACTCTATTTCATGTATTTGCTGCTAGACCGAACTCGCAACTTGAAGCGAATGAATGAAAAACTCATGCTCATCAATCCAAGATGAAGGCAGGGCTTAGGAAAGCTGCAGAATTTGGCATGGAGGGACCAAAGAGAGCTATGAATACTGAACAGTGAATCTGTCCTGATCACTAATTTCCCATCTCACTAAATGGCACTTATGCGTGAGAGACAGGGACGCTTGCCACCTGCTTGCTGACACTATTATCTTCTCATGTGCGCTGTAGTTTTACTGTCTTTCTGTTGCTGCAAGTAATGAAGGGTTAATTTCACATAGCCCCTGAACTTTTGGTTGTTTTTTCCCCGCACATAAGCCTCAGAAAATTGGGTGTCTCGCATAACCGGACAACCCCCTCTGAAGTTTACATGCAAATTATAGGTGTGGGGGTGTGGTTAAAGTTTACAAGTTAAGGGGAATTTTCTTAGACCCCCAGAGTTTAGGGGGTTAGGTGAGATAAAAAGGTTCAGGGAGGTTATGTGCAAAACACCCCAAAGTTCAGGAGCTTTTTGTGAAATTAATCCCAGCGGGAGCATTCATGTACGTTACGTACGCCTCAGGGCAGGTGGCTGCAGACCTTCAAGTAATTGGTCATGTCTGGTCTTCTCTCTCCAGCGCATGTTTGGATCAACAAATTTACAAACAAAGCCCCCCCGCTAACTTCAGCGGTCCGGAATTAGAACTTTTGCGTTGGTAGTTAACAGGAACTAGAAAATCAAAAGCAGTCTCGTGTGTGAATAATGTCCACAAAGTGTGCAAAAGGAGAAAGCTAGGGGAAACTTGTGAGTGCAATTAACCTCATGACCCGTGGGATGCTGGAATGAACGTACAATGTCGCTCGCTTAAGTGGTCCTCAATGCATGTGTAATGTCACTTTGCTAGAAGAACAGAAGGGGAAGTTTTGAAGAGGAAATCTTGGTTACTGCCGGGCTATTCGGTGTGCATTTTGAATGCATCTACTAAAAGGAGCATGTTCTATGAGACGCAAGAGATTTATATAGGATATAGAAATGCATAGATCTCGACCGCGCATTCTACTAGAACGATGGGATTAAGACATATTTAACCTAGTCCTGCGTGATCACTATGGGAAAGGGTAAAGAGTGGTGACCTACTGTAGGTGGCGCGGTCAAGAGGTGGGGGCCGGCCACAGGAGGCGCAAGCAAAAGGCCGCGGCTTCGGGAGATACGGTTTGGGCTAGGTTCGGACCCTCAAATTAGAACTAATGGCCGGGATATGCGCATCTCATAAATCTCTGCATCTAGAGGGTGTGTTTGGTATCTTTGATAGGTGTAATGGGAGCTCCAAGTTGTTTCCACTACATGTAATTTCAACATGTATGTTTGGTTGAATGTTGTTGCAAAATAAGCTAAAAAATGACGAGTTGTGACCAGATCAAATCAAAGGGTGTTGTAACAACAGTAGTTGTAAATACATGACATTTTGTAAATGTATATGTTGTTTCAACTGCCTCTAGCCAAACACACCCTTATAGGATATGCTCCACATCTATATTTATCCTAGAGTAATGCTAGCCACATGCGCGCATGAGGATCACTAATGCCGTGGCAGCGACACATGTTGGGGACAGGTGTCGCTGCCACATTGGGCGTGAGCCCAGTGGCTCCCAAATGTTAAGAAAATAATGTACGTAGTGCTGGATATATTATGATATCAAATTATAGTCCCTAATGTTCATCGTTTTCGTTGTTATATTTGTATTGAAAGTGACTTTTAATTAAAAAAGAAAAAGAAAAACAAGTGACTTTTAAGAGTGCACAGGAATGAATAGCACGTTAAGAAAGGGATTGATTGCTTCTCAAATTATTGAAGGTAGGCAACTATCAGCATCAATCAGTTAGAACGAAAGGTAATCCTCTAATGCGGGGAAGTCAGCACGTCGTGTCTGATCATGATTTGTGCTATGAGGTGGAACTGAGATGCTCAGATTTTCGTAAAAATGCAGAATTTACAGCCAAAATGATACTAAAATAAACGCGAACAATTAAACTAAAAAATTAACTAAGGAATACACAAAATTTTTATAGTGGTTCAGAACACAATCAGTTGTAAATGAAAACCCTAATTCATTATGAGATCTCTTGGGCTTTATATAGGCCCCTACACAACTTACAAATAAGTCCCCAACTAATACTAATATATCAACACTCCTCCTCAAGATGGGCGAAAGATATCTACTAAGCCCATCTTGTCACATCCTCTAATCATATCTACTGAGCTAAGTCCTTTAGTCAGACAATCTGCTGTCTGGTCCTTAGTCGAAATATGACTTAACTCCAGTAGTCCGCTATCCAACTTCTCTTTGATGAAGAACCTATCGATCTCGATGTGTTTGGTTCTATCATGCTGCACTGGGTTGTTGGCGATACTGATGGCTGACTTGTTGTCACACCACAACTTCATCTTAGCTCCTTGATCCAGCTTCAGCTCAACCAACATACTCTTCAACCATAGCAACTCAGCAACTTCTAAGGCCATAGCTCTATACTCTGCCTCAGCTGTCGATCTCGCCACCACCGACTGCTTCTTGCTCTTCCACGAGACTAAGTTACCTCCTATAAAGATACAATATCCTGAGGTGGACCTCCTGTCATCAGCACAGCTAGCCCAATCAGAGTCACAATAGCCCTCAATGCTCATGTGTTCATTCTTCCTGAATATTAGCCCTTTTCCGGGGGCATTCTTCAAATACCTTAGAATCTGGTACACTGCGTCCATATGACCTTTCCTTGGATCATGCATGTAACGACTCACCACGCTTACTGCAAAAGAGATATCGGGACGTGTGTGACACAGATAGATCAACCTACCCACCAGCCTTTGGTATCTGTCACGATCAACTGGTTCTCCAGCTTCAGCACCCAGCTTAAACTTCTGGTCGATCGGTGTAGTTGCAGGTTTGCATCCTAACATTCCTGTCTCTTTGAGAAGATCCAGTGCATACTTTCTCTGGGATAGGACGATCCCCTCCGCTCCTCGAGCTATCTCTATTCCAAGAAAGTATCGAAGCAAGCCAAGATCTTTCACCTCGAATTCCTTACCCAGTCTCATTTTGAGTTGGGCAATCTCCTTCTCATCATCCCCTGTAATAATCATATCATCCACATATACTGCAAGCAAGGTGATGTGACCTCCACTTCTTCGAAAGAACATGGTATGGTCGGCGCTGATCTGCTGGTACCCCATACCAATCATAGCCCTTCTGAATCTGTCAAACCAAGCACGAGGAGACTGCTTCAGCCCATAGAGAGACTTCTTCAATCTGCAGACCTTTTTCACTGTCTGATCTGTATCGAATCCTGGTGGTATCTCCATGTATACTTCCTCCACTAGATCTCCATGAAGGAATGCGTTCTTCACATCTAGTTGGTGTAGCTTCCATCCACCATTTACTGCCAGAGAGATTAAGGTCCGAACAGTGCTCATCTTTGCCACCGGTGCAAAAGTCTCATCGTAGTCGATGCCATATGTCTGATTATATCCTTTTGCCACCAAACGTGTTTTGTAGCGTTCAACCTGTCCATCTGGATTCTGCTTCACAGTGGGCCCACTTACATCCAACTGCTCTCTTCCCTTTTGGTAGTTTTACTAACTCCCAAGTGCGGTTCTTCTCAAGGGCCCTTAGCTCTTCGTGCATAGCAGCTTTCCATTTCTGGTCTTTCTTTGCAACCTGCCAATTGTTAGGTATAGTAACAGAGTCCAGAGATGCAATGAATGCTCCATGTGCAGGGTGGATGTTAGAATATGATACAAACTGAGCAAGATCCCAACCATATCTATCGGGAGGATTTCCCGCATTACTGCGAGTAGTCCTCCGTACGGTTATTGGTGTGGGATGAGTAGGAAGAGGAATGGAATCACCTTGAGAGGAATCTGGTGGTGGTGTAGGTGTCTCAGGAGTCGGGGCAGGCGTTGGCAAGGGACTTGGCACCAGTGGCACTGTAGGTACTGTTCCCGTAATTTGTTTCCCCTTCCTACTATAGGTAAGTAGTTCCCCCTGAGCCGTTGGTCTAACACCTCTTGTCTCATTCTCCTCTTCTTCTTCATTCTCTTGCTCCTCCTCAACCAAGTCTCCTTCCCAAGGAATCGTTACAGATATTGATTTTTCTGATCTCTTACCATTCTCAGACATTGATTTCTCCATTCTCTCACCATTCTCCTCCTCTCGCCTCATACTTCCAGTATTAGGCGAGTTACCAACGGATGAAGTTACCTTTCGGGTGTAATATGGCTCGAGTTCTCGGAAGTGCACGTCCATGCTCACAAACAACCTTTTCTCCACCGGGCTCCAGCAAACATATCCCTTCTGAGTAGCAGAATATCCTACAAAGATGCACTTCACAGCTCTAGGGGTAAGTTTCCCGACAGATGGCCTGTTGTCCTTCACAAAGCACACACAACCAAACACTTTAAGTGGAAGAATCCCACCATTATCTCCCTTTAATGTCTCACACGGAGACTTCCAATGCAGCACTTTCGAGGGCATTCTGTTGATCAGCGCTGCTGCGGTCAACACTGCTTGCCCCCATAATGTTTCTGGGACATTCATAGAGATCATCATGCTTCTAGCAACCTCTAAAAGATGTCTGTTCTTCCTTTCCGCTACCCCATTCTGAGCTGGTGTATATGGACAGGTCGTCTGGTGATGTATTCCCTGAGCTGACAAATGTCTGGTGTTGTATTCCATGAGATGACAAGTATTCTCCAAACACTTTGTTGGTGTACTCTGTCCCATTATCAGATCTCAATACCTTCACCACTGCTCCATATTGGGTCTGAACATTCCTATGAAAGTTTTGAAAGCAGCCAAACACTTCACTCTTATTCTTCATCAGGTATAACCAAGTAACGCGAGAGAAGCAATCAATGAATGTAACAAAATACTTGTATCCGTTCATAGAACTTGTGGAACAAGGCCCCCAAACATCTGAATGTATCAGATCAAATGCATGAGAACTCCTATGATCAGAACTAACATAAGAGCTTCTAGTAAGCTTTCCCAACTTACATGCATCACACACAAGTTTCTCTTTATTTGCTTTCTCAAATAAAGATGGATACAATCTACTTAAAGTACCAAAGGATGAGTGTCCCAAGCGCTGGTGATGAAGCATCAATTCACTCTCGGCACTCATTTCAGATCCTACTCCTGCTTTCTCTACCATTGACACCAAAGCTGAGTCCAGTCCCTCACGATCCAAGTACCACAGTCCATTACTCCACGTGCCAGTCCCAAGTCTCCGTCCTGTCCCTTTCTCCTGGAAGATCACCTTGGGAATATCAAAAGAAACGATACATTTTAGTTGGAGGATAATAGCACTAATGGACAAAAGATTTACTGGAAAGGAAGGAGCATGCAAAACATTGGACAGAGTTACAGAACCTGTACAATCGACTGTACCCTTACCAACCACTGGCTGAAATGTACCATCAGCTGTTTGAATACTATCAGGCGATGCTAAGTGAGTATATGATGAGAACTCACTAGCATTACCTGTCACATGCCGAGACGCACCGGAGTCGACTATCCATTCTGATGATCTGTTGGGAGACATAGAAGCAAGAGCATGTATGTCATCAGTACCTTTGTTCGGATGAGCATAGGTAGCAGTATTGCCTCTGGCGAAGTCCTCAGTCCCACTCCTCAAGTCTCCATCCCCTGCTACTTGCTGCTTCTTCCTTAGTATCGCCAGGAGAGCACGGTCTTCCTCAGTAAAGACCACCTCAGCTTCTTCTTCTTCTGCTACCGTCAGATTCGCCCGATTCCCTGCTCCTCTTCCACCTCGTCGACCCCCACGGCCACGACCACGACCTCCGAACTGTCCACGTCCACCCGAATCTCCTTCCTTGGGTGGTTTGGTGCAAGCATGCCTTAGATGACCCACCGCACCGTAGTTGTAGCACTGTCGAGTCTCTCCCCTAGATCCAGTATTGCTAGAGGCTGTCAGTGCTGACTTCACCACAGGAAGTCCACATGTCCCCGCCTGTAGCCGAATGCGAGTCTCCTCCTGGATCATAGCAGAGACAGCCTCCTCAAGCGTGGGAATCTTCGGCTGAGCTAGCAGCAATGCGATTCGCTGAGCGAACTCTGATGTCAATCCCTTGAGAAACACCATAGTCCTCTCCTGTAGAAAGGCCTCCCGCTCTTTACATCCCGGGTCCTTGCAGCTAGCTCGAGGGGAAAAATGATCATAATTCAACCACAGACGCTCTAACTCTGTAGCATATTCCTGTACAGTCCTCTCTCACTGGACTGTGGCGTCGATCTCTCCTTTAATCTGGAATACCCTCAGGTTATTCCCCACTCCATCATACGTCCTCCTCAACTTCTCCCAGACGTCCTTCACCTTTTTAATGCCATCCACCGTGGCGCCGATCGTCGGGACCAACGTGTTGAGAAGCCAGATGTACACCAACATATGAGTGGACTTCCACTCATCTCGTCCTCCCGAGTCCTCATCCGGTTCTGTCTTCTCTCTGGTCAAGTAACCCTCCAGGTTCCTCCCCGCAAGAGTGTATCTCACCCGTCGTGACCAACTCAGGTAAGTACTCGGTCCATCAAGCTTCAGATCGATGGTCGGAAGCTCCAACTTCTTTGATGGTCGTGTCGCGCTCTCATCAGCCGACAATTTCATCAACTTCATCAAAGTTGACACCTCCGCAGGGTTCAACTTCTTGATGATCTCCTCTATCGATCAAGCTTCAGATCCAACACATGTTCACCTTTTTCTTCAAACCCTTGTTGTGCGCAGAAAAATTTCGGCAGCACTTCTGCTGCACAACAAGAGTAAGATCTCCAACAAATTCTCGTTTCTCAGAGGAAACTAGAATCAAAAACAGTAATATACCTCATCGCTGTGAGATATATACTCTTCCTGTCATCAGTTCGAGGACTGAGTCGAGGGAACCCATGCCAAACTCGAGGTCCGGCATAGCGCAGCAAGGGGCTGGTCTGATCGGGGAATGGAGGGGGAGGGGCTGGTCGGGTTTGATCTGAAGGGAGAGGGAGGGGCTGGTCGGGTTTGACAGAGGGCTAGACTCGGATGGCGGATCGGGAACTATGGGGCATGGAATGGAAGGGGATAAGCCGCCTCTCAGATATAACAGGAGGGCTAGAAGAGGGAGGGGAGGTGGCCGGTCGCGGTCCCGCATCTAGGTTGGGTATGGAATATAAAGAGAGCTGCATCGGTAATGGACAGGGGCTGCGTTCGGGCTTAAGGGCTGTAACTGGGGCCCTGCAGGTGGATCGGTTTAAAGCCGAGCTGACTCGGATGAGGCAGGAGCTGCGTTCGGGATTCAAGGGCCTGCTAAACAGGGGCTCTACAGGTGGTCGAACAGAGCGCTGCGAGCGGAGAAACAAGGTGCTGCCAGGTGGTTCAAGAACACAGGGGCCTGGAGAGAGGGGGGTAGAGGGCAGGCGGCTAGGAGAGGAGAGCGCGGGGGGGGCAGCCGGCTCTGATACCAAGTTGTAAATGAAAACCCTAATTCATTATGAGATCTCTTGGGCTTTATATAGGCCCCTACACAACTTACAAATAAGTCCCTAACTAATACTAATATATAAACACAATCCTACGTCCACTCTTACTTCTCACAAAGGGGCTTCTTTACTATGATTAGTGTTCACATAAATCACAATTTAATTCCGTAGGCTTACAAAGATTGCACCATGAAATCTATTCAAAACCAGTCGTCTAACCTCACTCCTCACAAATGAGTAATACCTAGCACTAACTAGGACCAACCCTCAATTCATGCTGGTTTGGAGACAATGTAAACTCTCAATTCACAACGGCTTGAGTACATCGTGAAAATAAGTTTGTTTCAATTTAAGTGAAAATCAAAAAGATCTTACAGCCCTTTTTAAGCAAATTGTTCTTCAAAAGAATTGAAGCGAAGCTCAATGAAGAAGC